CGGATGCAGTGGGTGTCAGTTGATCTATTGACATTAGGTTTGTGCTTTAATTGAGATCGGGAAACAGTCATCAAGATGCACCGTCTGGCATCAATGTCACCCACATCGCATCGCCGTTTTATGGGTTTCATGGGTTTGAATGGGGGGAAAAACAAAGCCAACCGCCTTGAGTAGATTATGGTGCACTCAAGATCCGCCTACCTATCCTAACCCATAACTACGATTATGTGCACCCAACTGTGTGTCAAGTGTCGTCTGCCGCCGCACACACATTTATCAGCATTATCTAACAAATTACAAACGTAACTTGATTTATCCGGTAATTTTGCCGTCGTTGCGGCGCGAAAATTTGCAACCCAGCCTCGCGATGGCCGTGAAAGTCGTTCTACAATTCAGAATACGTTTGCAGACAGACATTAAAACATATATAGCATGTATGGAAACTGAATTGCCATAAATCAGGCAGATTATGCATATATTCCCGTGGACTCTATTCCCGCGTACGAATTTGTTTAATTATCCGACATTCCATAGTGGAGAAAAACCTATTTCGAGCGCTATTAAAGTGTATCCATCAAAATGACATCATGACCCGCTGACCGAGTGGATTAAAAGCATAAAAACACAATGGGAAAAGGGGAGTGACCAGCGAGAAAAAGCGGAACCAAATCCAAATAAGAGCAGAGTGGCAGAAGTAAATTAAGCGGGCATCCAAACAGCTAAAAACATAACCGGTACGTCCCGCGATTACCGACGGGAATACTATACATATATGTGAATAAAACTAAGGGTCAGGGGTCAGGGGTATAAGGAGGTCCAAAACTGATGACCACTGATGACGAGCGTGTGCTGTGAATAGTAATTCACTCGATTATTTTCTGTCCGTCGCAACGGATTGTCTGCGAGGATTGCAATGAATTTGCAATTGAATTAAATTGCATTACTCACAGTTGTCAACAAAATGCCAGCCATTCAATTCGATTGAATCCAATTGAAATTGATTTCAACTGGTTCACTTACCCCGCTGTCTTTGATGTCACACTTCACATTGACACTCTTCGCGTCTGCGTTTTGTTTTTGCCGCGATGTGTTGGTAATTTGAAGTGTTTGTGATACTGAAATCTGTTCTCGGCGCGTTAAATTAAATTTAAATGCCGAAGCGGAAGCGAACGGAGGACTGGAATGCAGTCAGTCAGCCAGGATGCGGCCCCGATCGACTGCATGTGGTTGCGCTTTAATTAGTAGCCAAGGGCGGAGACCCACCAACACGACCACCCCGACCACCTCGACCACCCTTCGCCGCGTGGGGAGCCACCCCCACTGGCACAGCTATTGCACTTATTGCAACGCAACGGCAGACTGCACTTGTCAAAAAAAATATAGCCATGTAACCGAAAATGGCATAATAAAAACAATGTTTAACTTAGGGGTAAGGGTGATTTAAAGATTTAGAGATGAAATTAAGATACTCGTTGATTAAATTTTAATTTCTTAAATTTCTTATCTGAAAAACATTGTTATTTTAGAAAATGGTTAACTAAAACACAGTGCAAATATCTCATGCATAGAAATAAAATAGCACTCTTGATAACACTTGATTTGGCAATTAAAACTATTACCCAAGGAATCTACATATTTAAAGCTTATTCTTTCTTAATCTATTATTTCATATAATGTAAAAAAAATGTGTTATTTAAAATTTGTAGGAAGTAAAATTATAGCTTTAAAGTAAGCCGCAGATTAATATATTAATAAATTTTCGGTTTCCAATAATGTTTCATATCCCCCATAGTTTCGAAATTTATTTACACTAATTATATATTTTTAATCACTAAACTGGTTGTTTTATAAGTCCGTTATTAGTGTGCAAAATAGGTTTTGGCCGCCATTCTCCCAGTGCGGTCGTAAAATCCGACCCTTTTAATGAATGTGAGAGCCGCGTTCCATGCTGCGCTGCACCAGCAACGGCCAGCAGACGTAATTAAGGCTAACCAAGCATTCCGGACTGAACCTGGCCTCCCACAGTCAGTCAGTCAGTCAGCCGAAGTCCGGGATGCGGGATGCGGGGTGCGGGATGCGGGGTCCAGGCCACCTACGTGTCTGATAAATTAATAATTTCGACAATTTCATTTAAGAACTGCGTGCGCGTCGGCGTGAGCCATAAATAAATAAGTGAGCACGAACAGATAAGAAAAACCTTGCCATTACATATTTCGAATCATTTCGCACTCTTATAGTTGGATAATATTCTTGGCCACTGTTTCCGTTCCAAAATAACAATCCAAAAGATAACCAAATCATATCATATTTCTCTAAGTGGACTGGCACTTACATCCTTGCTCCACTGCACCAAGTACGGAATGGGGGCATCGAAGGGGAAGTCGATGTAGCAATTGAAGACCACGTGGGAGCCAACTTTGGCCTCCAAGTTGGTCTGCCGTCGGTGGTCGCGGGCACCGCTCGTACAGGATACACTCATTAAGAAGATCGCCAGAAGAGCCAGCACCGATGATCGGCATTGCCTGAATGTTCTGCTGCGTTTCGCTGGCATTTTAAAAAATACTCTTACGATGGATCTGCACTTGCACTCGCTCACTCACGCGCGGTGTCTTGCATAATGTTTCCGCGTTGCCAGAATGCGCAAAATCAAATTAAAACCCAACCTGAAATCAGGTCAATTGGCCCTAAACGAAGCGGAGCTCTCTTGAGGAATTCGGATTTTCTAAGGCGCACGAAACCCGATCCGCTGTTTACTATATCTTTGTGCGCAGTTCCGTTCGGGTATATGACGGGTATGTTGAGGCGGTATTTCGAGGGTCCCGAACTGAACAGAGCGGCTGGAGAAGCGCTACTGAACACCGAGACCGAATCGAGATCAGACTGCAGAACGAGTGACAGATGAGGCCGAGCTTTTGTGGGGAAAAATGCTACACAGAAAGAAGAATGTAGAAACAAAGATCACAATATCTTTTAGCAAAAAAAAATAATATAAGTTAAATTAGGGCTAGTCAAAATACTCACATACTTTCAATATTGGAATTATCGAAATACCTACATACTTTGAATATTGGAAAAAATATAAGAAATTCAATTATATGGAGAAAGATGGATTACACTTATGTGACTCTTTGAATAGACTATTTATGTTTAATTTCTTCAATCTCACCTTTTTCGATTTTGCGCAGTGTAGTACACTGAAGAGCCGACCAACCCCGATCCCAGCCGATTACTTTGATATGCTGCTGAGCTGCGATCTACTCTTTTCTCTCGTCTGTCAAACGTTTGACTGCATTTGACATTTGACACACGCCCACGCCATCTGCTTTGATGAGGTCTCCTTTGTCTGGCCAACGTCTCCCCCACAATTCGCTTTCGCAGACGTTTATCCACTTAAAAAATTATGCGATCGCCAAAGTGTTGCTGATAGCATTTGGCCTATGGTTTGAACTATCCCAGCAAATACTCAGCAATAGATCAAGCAATTTTCGCAATGGATTCCCATTAATGGGAATTCATTTATTGAAAACGGGGTCAATCGGTTCTTTTAGCTGTCTATATCCACTGCACATCCGAAAGTTATTCATACAGAATATATGTGAATTTTATTACTTTAATTGCCCCAATGTCAGCGTCATCTCAGGTTGGCCACTGTGGCGTATGAGTGATATTTGTCTGGAAGCAAAGGGGCATAAATTAAGTCAAACTTCCGGGAAAATGAAAACGCAGGTTTATGGTTTTATTTGATCAATTTCAAGTTTTGTATTTTTATTCGTTTTTTGTTTGGTTTTTTTGTTTGTTTTTTTTGCTTTGTTTTGTAAGTTTTATTTGTTTAAAAATTTTGTTCATTTTGCTAATTTCTCTTTATAATTGTGTGTCTGTATTAATTACAATATATTTCGTTCTAAACTGATTTATCCTTGTACGATTTATATATGCTGAATTGGAATTGCAGTGGGGAAAAGGTTTGGAAAGTGGTAAGTGAAAATCGTGTTGGCGGGCAGGGGAAAGTGAGGTGAAAGTCGGTAAGGATGTGTCTGGGAAATGTCGTCGAAATGGTTTCGGAAGTGATAGGAGGTGCAAAAGAATATAGATTTTTCTTTCTTATATTTCTTATTTTGTTTTCCTTTGATAGTTCCTATTTTTGTTCATTTCATTTGAGTCGAGTCGAGTCGAAAAGTTAACTGGCGCACCTTGTCCAAAAATCAAAGTGGCAGACTAAAGCGTTAGATTTACTTAACTTAATTTTAATGTATTCGTCTTACTTAATGTACATGTCGTGTAATCCAGTATCTATATCCATATATACGTACCGAACATACATGTACTCGTATAAATAATCATATATGTATCTATTTGCCTTAAAGTCCTGCGCCTAACATCTCTTAGCTACGTCGCTCAATTAAAATTCAATTTATGCTGTCATTTTGCAATTATTCGTCTGCGCTTTTCTCACTTCGTTCGCTTTCCGTTAATGCTCAGTTAATTAATTAATTTATTTCGTTCTAGTTAAACGCTTTATGTGTGTGTGTGTACTCAGTGTGGGCGTGTCAGAGTGTGGGTGTCCTATGCAATACAAAACCAACTTATTCACTTGAATACCCTCAATACTCTCATTTACAAAATACATGCAACACAACTCGAGTTCCTCTTCCTTCTCTGAACTGTTATCCTAGTTATTCGATCTAAATACAATTTGCTCTGTTGCCTAAGAACGCAACAAGCGCGTGGCTGTAAGTCCCACTATATGGTATATAAACCCATCAGATCTGGGTGAGACTTAAAGGCCGCGCTTGCTAGAAGAACTGACAGACGGACAGGCAGACAATGGGCTCATATTTAGGGTGGAAAATAGAGAAATCGGGAAATTGGAAAATTGGGGAGCTCAGTTCGGTTCGCTAGCGGCAGCCGAAGTTTTTGTTTGTAGTCGAAGGCAAAAAGAAATGCTTGAGATCATTAGTCGGTTGATTCGTAGTTGATTTCTTCATTTGTTTCGCGATCCAACCGTCCCCTGAATAGTGTTGTCGTAATCGTTATTATCGTTATCATTAAAATATTATGTTTGTATATGCTCTGTAATTTACATACGTTATACACACTCGAGGTCTTTTCGCATCTCTCGCTCTGGCAGTGTTTTGGCGTCAAGTTGTGTCAAACTATCATTCCGTACAATTTGATCTTTAGACATGTTTATCGTTAATCAATTATCGTTTATCGTTAGCAATTACTTAAAAAACAGAAACGCCTCGTCCAACTAAGCTGCATCCGGGGAGCTGTCTTTTACACAACTGACCTTTAACCTTTAACCTAAGACCAAATACCATCGCTCTGGGGAGTCTAGGAAACTGTTGGGATCTCGGATTGGATTTGGGGACCTATTTTCTGCTCTACATTCCTAGCTTTTCATCGACGTAGTCTTGGGCTGTGAGTTAAACCAGGAAGAATAGGGTTTCCCATTAGCTTCGTTTTTGGTTTTACTTTTCTTTCATTTGATTTTTGTTTGTGTTTCGTTTCTTACGTTTGGGGTTAATAAATATTTGTTCAAGTTAATTATCGTGTGTAGGTCAACAGTAAACATATATGCAGCAGTTATATTTCATTAAATTTTCGTTAAACTTTTTTTGTTTTTTATTTCGCTTTCGCTTTTATTTTGCTTTGTAGGTTTCTTGTCGTTAAATAATTTAATTATGAAACAATTTCTCTATATGTCGTTTTAATTACTTTTTAGCGCTTTTATTTCACGTCGTCGCCTCTTCGTTAATCTCTGCTCTAGTTGTTAACAACTAAATGCTTAACAGCTAGTATATTCCGTATTAATTTAGTTTAGTTGTAATGTAACATAATTTAGGCTTACGCTTGTGGATTGTTAATTAATGTTTAATGCTCAATGTTTAACATATCTCGATCTGTGTTATGTTTAGTATCAATATCTAATATACTCGTAAATAATAATAATTGTAATTGTAATTTGTTCTTTGCATATGTCGCCAAACAATGTTTGCTTCATTTACTTGCTTTTAAATGTCAATTTTACGTTTATCGATTTTTGTAATAATATGTTGCTATAATTGCTATAGTTGTTAAATATTATACTTAAACTTCCGGGCCCTCTCCTCTCGCCCCAAATATATTTACACAGCTTTCATCTCGTTTAAACCTACTAATTGTTTCTGGCTTCTAAGTGTTCTCTTTTCTTATTTTGTTTTTCTGAGTGTGAGTTTGCAGGGGGCCAAACTTTTAAAGTTCATCTCTGAATTGGGGGGCCTGTTCCCATATCATATCGCGTCTGATTGCCTCGGATCCGCTGCTGTCCAACTTTGTCGGTATATGTACGAGTGTGTCTATCTATGAATCTAGCTCTTTGTGGGCGTGGGCTTATGTGTGGGTGTGGCTCAATTAAATGCTTCATTGGCTCAGCAAACACTCTCCATTTGGTGCATCGCTTGGCGTTTGCGGTAGGCATAGAACTCCTCCCTCATGGCTTGAAGTCTGACCTCAACGTTGTCGTAGCGAGGCAGGTGAACTGGTAGAGATCGTGGCTTCCTACTGCCTCCTCCATAGGGGGCGTGGCTGTGCAGCAGACTCCCACTCAAAGGACCCAGCGTATGGTGGTGATAGGGATGCGTATCTATGTGCAGATTGAGATCTTCGCGCAGCATGCTGGATGCACTGGGCGTGGGCGTGGCCGGATCGAATTCGTAGTGCCCATCCACACTGCCCACATCCACGGGACAGGACTTGGGCAGATTGCTGTCCGTGGCCGCATTCAGTCTTGAGATCATCTCCAGCCAATGGGCCATCGTGTATGGCGGCGTGGTGGCCCTGGGATACGAGTAACTGCCATGCGGCGTTTGCCCCTGCGCCTGTTGCCCTCCAAAGTAGCCCAAATGCTTTGGCGGCGAAGGAGGTGCTCTATATGGCGGCAGTAGCCTCCATTCACTCGTACTTCCCGGGTGATTAGAGGTGTTCTTCGAACCAAAACCACTCGAACTCGATCGCGATTCGGGGGAGGCCTCTAAGCCGCCAGGATTCATGGAGTTGCGCAGGTTGAGATTCAGTTGCGGCAAAGGGGAAAGCATCTCGTGTTGCTGCTGCCGGTTGCCAAAGAGCCTTGAATGGTGACGGGGATACCAGCGAGTTCGGGGACGATAGCTGGCCTGCGACTGGTAGTAGCTTCTCCAGGAAGGAGGCGATGGCAGCTGGAGCGGCACAAAGTGATCTTCCAGCGGATGCTGCTTCTGCTGCTGCTGCTGCTGTCGCCGGGTTTCCTCTTGAATGGTCCTCAACGAAGGCAGCTCCTGGGAGTAGTATCTATACCTGCTACTCAGATTGTGCGACGAACGTTCAGCCGAATTAGGGGGATACACGGTGCTCAGGTCGCTGAAATGCGTGGGATAGGCGCCACTGCCACCGCTGGTGAGTAGCAATTGCTGGTGATGTTGCTGCAACTGCTGCGGTGAGCTGGAGAATATCCTGGAGATCCTGGAGGGTGTATAGAGCTGCTGCTGCTGGCTGAGACTGCCACTGATGGTGTTTATGTGCAGCGGTCTGCTTCTGTCCGCATGGCCATACAAGTTGTTGTTGCTGGTGTAAGGTCGCAGGACATTCTGATAGCGGGCTCCACTCACAGCCTCATCGAAATACGACTGTTGATTGGCGGGCTGCTGCTTGCCCCCGATCTTCAGAAGACCCTGCAGAAATCCCCTGGCTGAATCTGCCGCCGACTGGAGACTCAGCTGACTGGAGGAGGCCACCAAGGGACGACGCCACGAAGCACGAGCCGTGATGAAGTTACGACGCGACAGAAATCCGCCATCATCGCTGGAGGATTTCTGGGACACGTTGCTGTTCCGCCGCTCGAAGAGACCACCGTCCACCACATCCACATTGGCCGATTCCAGGGTTTGCTGGGAGTACCCCAGTTTCGACACCCCCTCGACATCCAACACAAAGCGTCCGTCGAGGCTTCGTTGAATGCGGCTTACGGAACGCCTTCGTCCTGCGCCCCCGCCCTCCTCATCGCCATCCTCGAGGTTTGGGGAACTGTAGATGGAGTGGCAGTTGGTGCAGCGATCGGGCGGCCAAATCCAGTGGAGAATGGCAATGAGGATGGCGGTTAGACTTGATATTCGGGTTTGTTTGTACCTGAACGGGGGGAAAAAAAACTTGAATAAGTATATGCATTCACCAAAGGTATTTTTAAGTCTCAATCAAACATTATACAGAACTAGGAAATGAAGTAAACGAAAAGGACATACTAAATACAATACATTTGCTGTATTCAATTAAGAGAATCTGTTAATTCCCGTAATACAGAAATAATGGCAAACAAACTAAACGAAACTGAGAAACTTAACTGAAGCCAAACGAAAGTAAAGAAAACTTTGTTAAAGTTTGAGAAAAGTTTGCTTACGATTTTGATTATGACAGGATGGACCTGGAACTATAAAAACGCTTTCATAATCACGGTAATGTTCAGTATTGCTATGAAGCGATAGTAGATCGGTGGAACGTGCATGGCGGATGCCAATCAGAGTGAAATGGGTAGACAGATAGATGACAACGTTACAGATATTGATACATTTGGAGGGTTTTTCAGTTTGGAGGTGAATTTAGAGTCAGATAGGAGGCAGCCTAGAGGAAATACTCACTTTTTTAAAGGCACTTGACCAGAGGAAATTGAGCCCGTACTGCGATTGTGCAAATGATGATTATTGGCGGCAATGTTACGAGCGTCCGTTATCCTGCAAGCTACCATGTTGAACTCTGCAAACGTATAATTTCTAAAATTAATTTGGCGTGCAGCGTGAGCCGTCCTATCCGGTAAATAAAATACCCGTACACCGTACGCATAGCTACCAAGCACACACACTCTATATACACACACGTTCACGGATATAGGTTTATGCATATGCATATATACTACGGTGCTCTCTACATATAGACGTATATAAATGCGATTACTCTCTTTTGAAATTCAGCTTAGATCAAGGACAAACTGGCATAACACGGATGTCTGTTGATGTTTGTCGAGGGCGGGGCAACACAGAGGTCCTACGCACAGCGAGAAAGGTCCTTAAACAGGTCCTTAAATTTAGTTTTTCGTTTAAATTGTAGGGAATGCCATAATTAAGAGACATTTAAAACATATATTTTTTATGTTGAACTGGTTTAAAAGGACACTTTCCCGCTGTACTCGTTGGAAACTCGTTGATTATGACCATTTGCATGCCAGTATCGTCTGATTACACACTCTTGTTGTTGTCGCTAATACGCTTAGATTGTTAAAATTTTAGCTGTAACTAGGCTATTAATAAAGGACAGTTAGCATTAAACAGTTGCCAGTTAGCAGATAACAGTGGCCGTTTACCAGTTAGCAGTTAGATGACTACGACTAAACTATGTTGTTAGTTAGTTTCAGTTGATTGGGGTTGCAATTACATGTGGAGCAAGAAGGAGGAGCCAATTAGTAAACCAGGAGGCTAATTTTGCAGAGAGTTTGGGTAATTGAACGGCGGCTACGGGGGCGTGGACATGGACATGGACTTAAACAATGCCAACTAAATCGAAATTCTGCCTCCGGCCAGCTGCGATTGACGGTTGACGTTGTCGATGACAAACTAATTCACCGCCGGGGAACCCACATATATACGGCTGTATGCGAAAACTTGGTGTATACACAACATATACACACACTCCGAGGTGCATATACACAGCCGTGTGCTCTTCGCAGTATTTTATTTAGGATCTGGCTTCGAATGGTTGGAAAAAAACAATGACACGTGAAATGGCTTTTGAATGGTCAAGTTACGAATTGTGGCAACGGAAAAGAGAGAGAGAACGGAACTCAAGTTTAATGCAAATCGAAAACCAAATATGTCTGATTATATGGGGATTATGGGTATGGATGCAAAACAAACTGAGGAAAAGCGGAAAAACAAAGAGTCGAGCGGCAAAACTTTTGCCGCAGAACAAGTGATTCTCACAAAAACGAAAAGTGTTGAGAAGTATTTTGTTTTTTGTTTCGCCTTTTTTTTCATGTTTTCTTTTGGAGGTGCTTGTGTGTTTTGGGTAATTATGAAATCTGTGAGGTCTGGAGTGTGGGGTGCTTGAGATACTCGAGAAAGTGCGGCTGCGGCGGGCAGTATCTGATAGATCTGCCCGAGAAGAGAAGCACTGACAACATATAACCGACGGATTGCGGATTGTTAGTGGAATGCGGATGCTTAATCGATGAAACACCGACGAGTGGTTGGTTGTGGTGATGTCAGTGTTGGTTAGTTGGTTGGTTGGTTGTTGGGGTGATGGGAACTCGTCTGAAAATAACCTTTAGTTGTTGTCAGTACTCAGGATCTGTGGCACACGACATCGACTTAAAATGATTGCAAAAACTTACCCTTGCTTGCATCGATGTTGGGGTTTTTTAAGTGGGGTCTTACTATATGCCTTACTTTAATTTTGGGTTACTTTACTTCGTGCTCCGTCGCTCCACCTTTTGACTGCCCAACTCGGACTTCATTAGAATCACATGATGGTAGAATGCCACCTATTTGGAGTCCCAGCAGTTGGGCGGACAAGGGCGAAGGACAGCTGTGCACTGGATTTTACCGATCAATTGACGACGCGATCATTTTATGCTTCGGATTCGGTTTTGGTTTTCTAGATTCGATTGCTCAAGCGTCGCTCTATCGACATTGTTTGTGGGCCTTATTTTACCATCTTTGTGCGTGAATTGTTTACAAAAAACGTCTGCCCAGTATTGTGCTATATAAATGGTCATTCGCCATGTATATAGATTTTCGTATTTGTTGTTCTCCTCTGTGGTGCAAATACCTTTATCTGTCATGAACTCAGCCCTGGGCAGAAACAACGACGATTTGGCCAAGAACATGCTTGTCAATGGTTCGTAGATAAAGGTATTTCTATCATCAGCGCTATCAGCTTGTCACATTTATACAATTATTGGTTTTACGTTAATTTATCGTAATGTGCCTACCGCAGCAAAAAAAAAAAAAAAAAATTATGGGAAAAAATTTAGAACAATGTGTTCTGTATAGAATATACGTATGTACATTATAATTCTCAGTAATGGGCTGCATTGATTTTAAAATTCGCAATTTCCCTGCTCTTTGTTTTTTTTTTTCTGTGTTGTGTAAGTGTGTGGGGAAAGGGGGGTCTCGGAAAGAATACATAAATAATTGATTTAAACAACGCAACATTAATTAATCCACTTAAAATACAGTTTAAAGCAAAAAACATAACAAAAGGCAGAGACAGAGGTTCGATATGCACACGGTTCAGGTCGGTTTTGTTCGGTTTGGGTTGGTTTGGTTCGGTCCGGGTTTGGTTCGATTGCATTAAAGCCAGCAGGCATCGAATAATGGATGTCCTGGTACTCGTCCTCTGGCCCTGGCAGTTTCAATTTCCGCTCAACTTCAGCCGGGTTTTTCATACGGCTTTCGAAAGGAGTTTCCCCGGGAGACGGGGACAGGCACAAATAGAGCTTAAACGATTGCTTTTCTCATCTTCGGTTAATGCTTAACTAAAGTGGCAACAACTATTAATATGTTCATGCGTTGAATTCGAAAACAAACAGGCTGCAAAGCACTATGAAGCCAGGTTGATTAAGAAAATTAGACCCAATGATACAAACGGAAGGTTAAGTAATGGAATGCAAAATAAAAGTTATAAGGTCTCATGGCCGATTTTTAACTAAGATCTTAGGGAGTCACTTTTGTCTACGGAAATGGATTGTGGGACCGAGGGTGGGCGGGGGGACGAGCGGGGGGACAAGGGCTTTCAAGCCCCAAAATAAGAACTCAGAGCGTATAAAATCAGAAACCGAAAGGAAGGATAATCAAATAAAGAAAAGCAAACCGAAATCCAATTAGTATGTAAATATATATATACAGAGATTTTGCAGCAACTTTTGCCAAATTGTAACTCAATTTTACTTGCACAACTACAACAAAAACGTACAAATCATACTCTCAGACAGGCATAATTTATGGAGAATTTCATATCAAACGCCTCGACGGCTCAGAAATTTTGTCAAATATTTTACTTTGGGCAAACAAACGGTTTTAAATGCAAATTCCAATGTGCTGTTGTTGTTGAACAAACCAATGTTTCGAAACTGAATGGGAAACGGAAGAAAATTTCCATTGCCAAAGGCGGGAAAAGAGGAAAACTTGAATTGAAAAGGCTTGCAAGGCCGAAGCAAAACTCATAAAAAGCTCGGCAAGTAATGGTAATCGGTAATCGGTTAATAGTTATCGACAATTGGGTGGCCTTTGCCGTCGGAAGGTCAAATCATCGATAGGTTTTTATTAATTAGTGGCTGCTTAAGTACGTTAGTAAGTTTTGCGCCTTTTAGAGAGGGTTAATTATCATGGTAATGGTTTGGGGTTCGCCAACAACAAGTACATCGTCATCGATTATTACTGTTACGAGTAATTTGATATTAGTATTGCACGGATCATCGGTACATCTATATCGTTAGCATTATCATTAGCATTATCATTTTGTGATTGTCATCAAAAACCATTTCAAGTGTGTGTTAGCTTTTGCCTCAGTGTTACCTTTTTCCTGTTTTCGTCGTTTACGTTTATTGCAAATTTTTACGGCACAAACCGATAAAATGATCGCAACAATAAAAAACAGGATGCCCCCAACGACGCCGGCGGTAATCGCCTTGTGCTTGACACGTGCCGGCACAGGGAACTTCACTTCGTCGCTGGACTCGTACGACTTCTCCGAGTTGGCCAGCACCCGGAAGTAGTACGTCCTTCCGCCCACCAGGTTCTTCACCAGATACTGCGTCTCCTCCGGCCGGATTTGTCCCCGGTTCAAAGTCTTCCACTGCGCATCTGTCCGGTACTTGATGGTGTAGAACTTGACGATGTGCGCCCGCTCCAGCGGAGATTGCCACGTGATGAGGAATCCGTTCGACACCTCCGTCACGGAGACATTTCTGGGAGGTCCGGGCTTGGGACCTGGTTTAAAGGGTGTGCGAAAGGGAAATGGAGGAAAAAACGAATCGTTAGTATGCACATGAAATTGCTATAGGGTCCGGTAAATCTTATTTATCTTAAAGATGGCCATAATACTCTTTATAGATATTGTTTTGACACTTAAATCGTCATTCGATGTTAATACAGCTAATTAATTACTTTTGATATCTCGCTTTTCAACATTTTTAGTTAGACTTTTAATCAATTTCTTGGTCTTTAATAGTTCAATATTTATGATGTATAACTTTATATTTAACGCGATATTTTGGTAGATTTTTTTCTGGCATAAACATCCCTTTTTTTTGGGGCCCTTTTTTTACAGGCCTGTTTGTCCTGCCTTGTTTTCCAGTCAGCAATTTAAACTCGTCGCAAGCCAATTTCAATTGCCAACAACGTACAAAGGTTAAATCCGACATCCAAATATGTATACATTTAAAACAATTGAGGCAAGTATTTGAATAAGAGACAATACAACATTATTAAATTTTCATAGATCATTAAATTCCATATAAGAATGTCACTGTTTTATTCAACATTATTGGATACAAGAATTAACCTCCAGATTTTAAGTAATTTTTGTTCCAATTTCAAAGCATTTTTGTTTTTGAGTGTAATCTTTTTATTATTTTGATTTATTTGCATTTCATTTTACGCTTTGTTTATTTGCGCGAGGGATTTTCCACTGCCCTTTTATTACCTTTTGTCATTAACCTTCTTTCATTCTCTTTTAATTTAATTTCATTTGAATTTGTTTACCAATAGGTTCAACTAAAATGCTGTTAAACAACAAATTAAATAAAAACAAATATTAAGTTATTTCCGATAAGTACCTATATGTGTTTCCCAGTGTAAGCTTCGCCCTTCTTTGTTTTAGGTGATTTTATTTATTTCGTTTTTTCGCTACGCTTAAAAGCTTTATGAAAATTCCATTTGGCTTTTTGCAACTCTTTGCAACCTTTTTCTTTTTTGCACCATGCATTTATTCATGACTACGAGCCCTGGTTGTGAGGGGATTGACAAAAACACATTTTAATTAGCATACACACATAAAACTTTCCATTTTTGTATTTCGCATTTGAATTCTTGTGGGCCCCGACTTCCTTTCGTGTTCGCAAATGGAAAGAGTGATACAAAAAATACGACAGGACTGGCAAACACAAGGCTGAGAAGGATACTCCTGAGTGTATGCAAACGAATTATAGGCATAGATAACCTGAATTCTCGGTACGCTTGTCAGGACCTCCTGATTGGAGAACTCGTGCCCGATGCAATTAACTGCCGGTCTCCTTGGGATTTCAGGGCTATGTATTCTGTATTTTGGATTCAGCTTGTCGCACATGCAAATGCAAATTAAAACTGCTTGGAGAAATACACAATATGTCATGTAAATGGCGCCCAATTCGTAGCTCCCAAAGGCGCTTATGAAATTTAGAACAGCATTAAACGATATATGCGATGTGTGGATGGCTGGCGAGTGTGTGTATCTGAAGTGTGTTTAGAGTTTAGATGAGCTGACGGTGCGAATGCGAGGATATTGGGGGGGAGGGGATTTTCGGGGGATTCCCCACATGCGGCGATAAGTGCATGCCATTTATTATGACGATGGCGCTAACGAAAAATGCCACGCTCATTATATATGTATGTATGTTAATTAAAAATGCTTTTAAAGAGCCCTCGTGGGATTTGAAAGCGCATACTTGTCGCATATATCAAAAGTTGATTATGCGAATGGGGCACAAATGAGCAGGCAACCCTTTAATTCTCGGCCCGCATAAAAAATGTGCGCAGATTTGACATAACATAAACGAGACAAGTGACAAACATAAAAAGCAAAATGGCCCGGGAAAAGCGGCTGGGAAAAAGGCCTAAATGAGATGGGTAGACACAGACGGACGGACTGTAAAAATGTCAAGGGTAGACTGGGGTATAAAAAGGCACGAGTCTTCGTCGCACGGTTAAATGTTATTTATGACTGCAGCAGTGGGATTCCGGGGGAGGGTTCGGGGTGACCCGCAGTAAATCTGCAGTTGGCTTGCAGGAATTACTAGCTGTTTCACAAGACAGAGACAATACTTAAGCGCCACTTGTAAGTGAAAAAAATAGCGAAAAAATAATGCAAGGCCGGTCTTATATAGGTTGTTCAGTTAAGTTGCAAATGCTTTAATGTGTAAAAACTTATACTGTATCATTCATTTTTGCGATTTTAATAAAATAAACATAAATAACTAAATTTTTACTTCCTCAGTACAAGTCTTGCCAACTTTACAACCTTTACACATTTAAAACTTTACTGAACACTCTGCTATTTTATTATGTAGTGATGTGTGATACGAGTACCTTTGACTCTCAATTTGGGCGGCGAGTAAACAAGCTTGCCATGCGAGTCGGTGTGAAAGTAAATGTCAAAATAGGCTAAGAGGTCTGTAAACACAAAAACACAAAATTCAAATCATATCAAGTCGATTAAATAATTAAAATAAAGTGTGCAAAGTGAGGTGGTGCGTGTTGGGAAATTGAAAGAAAGTGCAATCCAAATACCGAAAGTTGTGCTAACTACAGAGGTCATAGTTGGCAAAGGTCAAAGGGCGCTTCCTCTGAGGAAAACTTAATCACTCGAGCATCGAGCCCTCGATTAGTTTACCTTGATCGAATGCAAATTCTGCTGCCCCAAGAAGTTAAAAACCAGCACGGCAACAAAACCAGTGCTGTAATTATGACAGAGAAATGCATTGAATATTCATAAGTGCACATGTGTGAGCTTTCGCTTATAATCAGCCTTGACATGCATTTTCTCTGGTTAGTTTTCACTTCTTCTGATGTAGGTATGCCTATTGTGTGGATACTAGGTTCTAGGATCAGTATTAAAAGGTGTCTGAACCAAGCCTCTTAGTTTTATGTAATCTTTATATCTTAAATTATATAAAAAGAAATTTTGTCCTGAAACTGAGAAAAGAATTCTCTTGGATTATTTATAGCCAATCAGAAAGCCAAATGCCTAAAATATTTGGGTATTTTAATTCGTAAATTTTTATACTATCCAGAACATTCGACTAGTAACGGTTTAAAATGGATTAAATATTTTTATGGCTGCCAAGAATACACATAATTTGAGAGCTAGCCCGTCACGGATTACAGGGTATCCTACTTTTGAGCTTCACGTGCTTTATTTTACCGAATGTCAGAGCAGAAATGTTTGAAACGTTGAAGTAGCGCGCTGCCTGCTGCTCGCATTGTTGTTATTAATTTTTAAGCGCTGCCGTATGGATAAAACAGCAAGGAAAGCAGCACGCACCGCTTTGCACCACCCACTCAGCTGGGCGGTGGGTGGTGGGTGGCTTTATGGTGGGTGTGAGCAAATGCCAGCGTCAGCGGGTCTACATGGCGTATGAAAATTGCTTGACATAAACAAATGCGGCACGGACATACACACACAGATGCACAAGCGCACGTGTGGATGGGTGGATGGTAAGGGGTGGGGAGGGGGTGAGGGGGTGTATGGTTGGGCAGTGGCAAATGGTTTACCGTTGATGTTTTATGCAGGATTTAAAAAAGGAAATATTATAAGAAAAAAAAAGCAGAAAAATAAAAGCCAAAGGAAATACAATTTTTTGCGAGGCGTTTGCTTTAGCGGCTGCTGTTGTTTTAGTTACTGTTGTTGTTGTTGCTGTAGTTGTTGTTGTAGTTGTTATTGTTGTTGCTGGGCTGCTGAGAATGAAATGAGGCGCTGGGTGTTGGGTGGTTTTAGGATGGATGGTGTTTTGTGGGTGGTTGGATGGGCGGTGGCATTGGATGGTTGTTGTTGTTGGTAGGTGTTTCGTTACAAGCGCCAAAAAAAGGTACACACGTACACGAAATCCAGGGTTGCATTACACAACACGGCGCACATTTGCCGCCAGAGTTGCCGCCTTTTTTGTTTCGCCCTTGTTGTTGTTTTTCCATTTGATATTTTGTAGCGTTTTTCCTTATTTTTTAACCTACGCGTGCGCCAACACGTATACGCACTGTGATACACGCACACACACACACATTCACGCAGACTAATGCAAGTAAATTAAATGCGCTAAATGGGGGAAAACATTTATTTGTGTGTGTGTGAGAGTGGAGGGCGGGGGGGGCTTACATATATACAAGGGGAAAACTACACAACGAGTGGGGGAGCAAAAGAGACAGAGAGCAAGGATAAAATTAACTATTATCGCAAAGCGGTTGGAAAAACACGCGGCAACGTCGACAAAGGCATTCAAATTGCCGCACCTACGGCGCCCCCAGCAGAGGGGGCGGTAGGATCTAAAGGGGGCGTGGCGGGCGTGCTTGTTAAATGTGCCTCGGCATTTGGTAATATGGTTGTTTAAATTACGCCACCCTATGCTCGCTTTTTTCGGCGTGGGCGTTGTCATATCGACCGCACACAACCTGCAAGACACGGACAAAAAACAAGAGCAACGGGGCAGTGGCAGCGGCAGCAGTTGTAAAAACAGTTCAATTAATTTAAATAATTAAATGTGGGACCAAACTGTTTTAATTACGCACACACGCGAACCGAGATCCCAGATAGTCGTCGCTGTGTGCGTGAGAGCCAGAAATGTAATATTCGCATCCAGGCCAAAAGACCAGGGCCAGAATCCCCAGCACATGTGGCAAATTATGCCCCGTGGGAAATGGCGCGAATTCGGGGCGTGCTTTGGCAGCCAATAAATGGGGAGCCCTGTATAATTGGTTTGAATATTTAATTGTTGCTTTTTTTGTAGCTGGCCCCAAAAGCCAAAATGAATATTGAATTCATTGGGGAGGGTGGGATATTGGGCTGTGTTCACCACAAGGGGGGGAGGGTGTAAAAGGAGGGCCATCAGTCGGCTGGAAAATGGGTTGAAGGCTAAGAACTCAGACCTTCCAAGAACTTGGTGAAATGTCGAAAATTAAATGTGGATATTTACAGTTTCGGTTTGGGATACATAAAAGCCTTATGCAAACTAGGGAATGGGGCGAAGAAACTATCCAGAAGGGGTTGTCATGTGTTTTTGAATGGTTTTTTCTCTTACTTATATGCATCCACCTACTTTATTTTTAATTGAGAAAAATGCCAATCATCATAAAATTTAGGGTTTCTTTTAGATCTAACCTCAAAAATCTTAAAAAAAAAGTTCTCACAAAAAAAATTAAATGTCCTTAATGTTAGCTCTTCATTATTGAAGATAATGGAAGAACTAACTATCTGATTTGTTCTATTTTTCCACACTTATCATTTAAAATATTTCAATTTCAAAATAAAACAGAAGGCTACGACAGAAGCTACACAATCATGCACTATACTGGTTTGGTTTTTGTTTTTGAATACAATAAAAGATCGATATTATAGACCCCCTTTAAAGATCGATTAATTTGCTTTATATCACTCAGTCTTAGGTTACGTAATAAAAGGGCGAAGAATACTGGCGCAATAGCAATGATGCAGAAATCATCATTTGGTAGTTCAAATAATATGGATTTTATCGTTGTACGTCGGTGGCTGCGTTTGCGGTTTAGTTTGCGGGCTGACGTTCTACTTCCGATTCTTATTTACAACTACGCATACTAGGGAGTTACGGTTGGGTTTTTTTTTCTTACCAGCTTCGTCTGGCATTAGCTGAAAGAATGAGTCGGGCGGTTGTGTTGCAGCCTTGACATTACGTGGCGCTGCCGGAGCGTCTTCTATTGAACCCGAATTTTCCGTGGTTCCCAGGAAAAATTCGTGGTCGAGGTTTGGCATTTGACAGTTTGCATTGATTGCGCGCATGATTAGTATGAGAAAGTTAGATCGAGTAGCGGTTTTGTTTCGATGGAGGTCGGTGAGGAAAAGAGAAGAAAACGAGAGAAAAACAAGAGCGTTATGTTAGAGCCAATCCAGATTCAGTTTTGTGCAGAGGTTTTTTTCATGAGAGACTATGTGCAGGATATGCCGGGGAGCGACTGCAGCAAGAACCCAAAAAAGTAAAGAGCAAGCGAACGAAAGACAGAATTGCGGAGAGGACCGAAAGGACTTACCCAGTGTGCGCACAGTCATCACTTTGCTCATCATCCCGTCGCCCAGGACATTGCGTCCCACCACCTGGAACTCGTAGGTGGTTCCGGAGGCCAGTCCATTGATGGTCACCTGTGTGCTGCCCGAGGGCGTCACGGAGATCGTCTGCCAGTCGTTGACGCCCGCCTCCCGGAACCAGATCGTGTAGTCCTGCTTGTACTCCGAACCACCGCTGTATCCTGGCAGCCATTGCAGCGTTATCGAGGACTCGGTGGCCTTGCCCGTGATGTTGTAGGGGGCATGCGGCTGGGTGCCCTCGATCACCAGTTGGGTGACGGCCATCAGGGTGGCCACTTCGTTGGACACCACACACTGATAGTAGCCGAAGTCCTCCCTCCGCAGATTCTCAATGGTGATGTTGCCGCCGGAGATCTTGATTCGATTGCGCTGCGACTCGGCCAGCTGTTCGCCCTCCTGCCGCTGCCACTTGATGGTGGGCCGCTCGGTGCCCTCCGCCTCCATGGCATCGCAGTGCATCTCCACGCTGTCGCCCACCTTGCGCTGGTACAGCGTATCCGGCTCCACCGTGAAGGCAGGCGGCTTCCGCACGAGTACGTCCATGATTCCGGAGGCTCCAGCCGTTCCCTGTGCATTGTACGGCGTGCAGGAGTACTGACCCTGGTGCTCCTCGTTCACGCGCGTGAACAACAGCGATCCATTGGCCATCACCACGATGTCCTTCATTTGGTACGGCTCCAGCAGACGCTTGTCCTTCGTCCAGGTCACGTACTGCAGTTGGGGGCTCGACTTGATGTAGCACTGGACCACACCGGCCAGCCGGAACGGCAGGTATTGCACCGTGGGCGTGAAGGTGACCTTGGCGGGATCTGCAAGGAAAGTGGGAAAAGGTAGATAGGGATCGTCATATGAATAGTTTTACAAACGGAGTTGATATAATTTAAATTACAAGAAGGATAAACGGGTATATGATTGGATTTTTAGTTACAATAAGGTAGTTCAATACCAATTTTGCATACACAGTTAGGATATGTGCGATAGAGAAAGTATATGGGGACACAGATATCGAAAAGTTAACAACTAGAGTTAAATCTTTTGAAACTAAAGATATAGTTGATATCCAAATATAATCGTATATTTTTTGGTATCCTTACAGGTAAGGGTTAATACTTACATTCGACGCTGAGGTAGGCGGAGGCGCTCTGCGGATCTCCGATACCGTTGGTCACCTCGCACAGGTACTGGCCCGAGTCGTCCGGCTTGATGGGGTTGATGATGAGCGAGCCGTCCTTGCGGATGGTGACGCGGGTCTCCAGGGCGGCCACTTCCCGGACGGGGGATCCCTCGCGGTACCAACGCACCGTGACGTTGCCGGGCATGGCCTTAGCCTCGCAGGAAAATATTGCTTTGTCGCCATCGATCTTCGTTTGGTTGGTCGGGGGCACCTGTTTCGACGGCGGTGGAGAAAGGGATGCGGAAAATACATTTTAGAAAAGTGGCTCAGTAGCGAGTAACGAACTGCAAACTTATGACGATTGACTGTGCTGTTGACTAATTCAAATCATGAGCCATGGAAGGAACAGCCCCTGGCCGGTCCCTTTTGGAGCCTGGAGCTTGACAGCTAATTTTTGGCTGTCGCCGTCATCGATATCCTTTGTGTGCACTCGCTCCTGAGAAATAACATTTCTGCTGTCACAGCTATGAAATGTGCTCCGTTTCCCCCTGGTCGCTGCCATTGACAACTTGTCAGTCAACTGTCAGGAGCCAAACATTACGGACCCCTTTCCCGTCCTGGTAATTGCATGAGTGCATTCTGCCCCTTCTGCGGGGCTGGGGCTTCGTTTATTTAATGGGCACATTTGCCGCCGCTTTGCTTTCGGGCAATTTGCTGGCAGACTGTTTCATTTGAATTAGTTTTAGTTATGGCCAAAATTGATGTGGGTTGACTGCTGGTGCCCTAAAATGGGCTCGTAAATTGAATTGGCCTGATCTGCCTGCCTTTGGTTTGCCTCGATTTCCCTTGGGTCATCTATAAATGTCCACTTTGCCTGTGGCCAGATAAATGTTATTGAAATATTTATGTGCAGATTGCTGCAAGCTTGAGCAGTAATTGAAGCTCGAGGTATGTGCATTTCCCTCTCTGCTCCTGCATGCTTTTCTTGGCTTGCTTGAAATGCCAGCCAAAGGTCAAAGTTCAAGCTCTCTAAGACGCCAACCAATTGTGCATGTAGGGCGGAAAATCCTAAGCCAGCTTGTATACTTGTATAGACCAAAAAGCCAGAACTGTTTGTGAGAAACAGTGAAAAAAAAGTTTTTTACTGGTTTAAATAATTTCTTGAAAGGTTTTTATGATTTATATACCAGACTGTATTAATAATAAACTGGGATGGCAGTTACAAGAAGAAGTACCTTCAGATTTTTGTTGGCGCCTTAAAAAATATTTTTACATTTTTAAGCACTACTTTTTTCGCACTGTGAAGGCTTACCTCCCTCCCCCATTTTTTTGCAGTTGCAGCTAACTGTAAATAACCGAAATGCAAATGCATTAGCGTGCGCGCACAAAAGTATGCTATACAGACGACGACGACGACGGCCATGTTCCACCCACACACATGCACGAAGGTCTCCCATAATGGGCGGTGAACGAGTAAGTGGGCGGGGTGGGTGTGAGTGGGCCATGTGAGCATGCTTGTATGCAGTTTGTAAATAGGGGGATCTGCCTGAGACTAGGCGAATGACCATGTCAAGTGTACCGAGTGCTCCTGTGCTCCTTCTGCTGGTTCTGTTCTGTTCGGTTCCGTTCCGTTCTGTTCTGTTTTGCCGTTTTATAAGGGGGTCTGCCTTCCTGGCATGTAAATACGGGCCGGATGGAGGCCACATGGAGGCACAAAAAGTTTCACGCTTGTTACTGTTTTTTTTCCTCGTTTTTCGGGGTGCTTAAGCCCCCGGAATCGGAATCTGGACATGGTTTAGTCTGGTGATTTCTGAAGCCGTTGTCGGCTGCTCTCCAAATCCTCCAGCCAGGAGCATTCAGAGCGATTGGTTTTGCTGCGAATGGGCGTCGGTAGCCGGCTTTGGGCTTAGTTAATGGGAAAGCGTTGAACAGATTATGCAGTATGCGGAATGCCAGGATGCCAGGATGCCGAATGCAAAATGCAAGGAGCGATTTTCAGTTGGGACTTACTCGTATGGTCAGCCTCTCATTCACGGCATTCGACTTGGACTTGGTGCGCGTGTGTTTGTCGGGCGCCGCCTTATCCTACGATATTTTTGGGGAGTGGATTTGGGCAGTGTGAACGCGGGGGTAAAGAAACTACGCATTAGTAACCTGATGGACCCCGGGGTTTTTGTGTCCACCCTAACTCTCAGGACTCTCTCTCCCCCCCAAACACTACTTTTCGGTCGGTTTTTGTGTTCTATCAGGGATGTCCCAGAAATCGATGATGATTTTCGGGACTGCTGGTTTGAAATTCATCAGAAAACTCCTTCAACGCTCCAGAATTTTAAAATTTTGACTGTGTATCAAAAATTTGACCTATGGTTGGAAATAATTTCTGGGACACCCCGCCGTGTATCTCAAAATTAAGTGATTTGTATTTAGGTTTTTACCATGATTACAGCGCCGCCCGCGATTATAACACGGGCCGTATGGGAGACTTGCCCCTCACCATTGCGTGCAATGCAAGTGTACTCTCCGATGTCCTCGTGCCGAATGGTGGAGATCCGCAGCTCGGTGCCGTCGTTGAAGATGCCCACCGTGGGCGAGGGATCGACGGGATTGGCATCCTTGTACCAGAGTATTTCCGGTGTGGGCGTGCCATCGGCCTGGCAATTGAGTATAATTGAATCACCTGCAAGGAAATGTGGTGCAAGAACAAAATGAGAATGAGAATGAGAATCAGGACAACTACAGGAAAGAAAACGAGAGCGAGGAATTAATAAGGTAAGTGGTGGCAATTGTTACGCTTTTTGGTTTCAAGGAGGCGGGTCCTTCCGGCTCGGCTGTCTTTTGTCTACTGTCCTTCGTCCTGCCACACCACCAACATTTGCGGCAGACAATGGAAGCGGGCTCTTTGTTGCAGTGCCCCACTGTTCGCCTCACTGGCCCCGTTGTTCTCCATCGGCCGTTGTGTTTGTCTGATTTATGCGCTGCAGCGCCATTTTCGCTCAACGCATTTCCGGCAACCGCCTTTTGTTTCGCCCGCCACTTGGACTTGTACACATTTTAACTTTGATTAAGCTACGGAAATTTGATTTGATACGATTGTGAGCATAAAGAGCTTATCGATTTTCGTGAGCCACCGCCGAACCTCTACCACTTTTGGAATCGGAAGATGACAAATGGGCGGCCATCACTCGTTTAGGTGGCACTTTTTACGACTCCTGGGAATATAAGTTCTTAAGGTGACAAACTCATTCGGGCGCTGCAACAAATGGCCGGCCATTTGACACACTCGAAAGTGGGTCGAAAGCGTGTGGGGGTCGCACTCCACTTAATTCTGTGAGATGACAGCCCCCAAATAAGTTGGCCAGCCGAATGCGCTTATTTATGGCCTTGCTATTTATTAGAGAGCAAATGGGTGGGCTTTGCAGTCACGATAGCGATGACAGAATATCTCGATAAATAGGTATCGTGTCGATAATTTATCGGTGGTTTTGTTAAATTTTTAAAATATCTATACTACAATCGACCGCTTGGGACAGAGAAATGTTACAAGTGTTTGGAATAAATAACTTCTCTAAACTAGACATTGTTTTGTTATCAATATAGATATGAATTTGTTTGTTAAAAAATATATTTTGAGATTTTTTTTTTACCCGCGGAGTCCCATTTTAAAATACTCACCTAAATTAACGTATATAATATCCTCTGGCGTAACACTAAAGCGCGGCGGTGCATGTACGTCTAGGTGGAACCATGTACCGTTCTTAGGCTGCTTGGGGTCCCGGTTGAGGAAGACGACCTTGCACTCGTACCATCCTTGGTCCGTTTCCCGGATGTTGGTCAGGTTGAGCGAGGCGGAGCCGAAGGGCGAGTCCTGCGACACGCGAGACACGCGTCCTTTGTAGCCCTCCTCAATGTGCTCCGGATAGCTCTCATACCAGATGTAGATGGGCAGATCGGAGCCCTTGAGAAGGAGGATATATGTGGGAATTAGTCTTCGGCTTAACCTGCCAGTGAGCGGAGTTGATTCTTGATTTGGTCTGTCTGGAATGCGTTTTAAGCATGGAATGTGCCATGGCATTTGTACATACGACAAACGAGAGACTGGTTTCTGGTACGCTTCAACTTGGTAATTTAACCTATGGTTATGATTGGGTTTATGAGTCGCGAGTTGAGGGAATATGTACATAGAACAGGGTGCTTATGCGCTAGGATCATGCCATCACTACAGTTAAACACTTAAATCTACGCTGTGGCATGCAGGTGCAAAAGGGGATTAACGCTTTTCGGGAATTGTGGAAACTTTCCCGACGACTTCCCCGCTGAGACAACGCAAACAACTAACAACTGTCGCAAATAAATTGAGTTGCGACATAGCTGCGGGGTAACATAACTGCGTTCTGTCTGTAAAAGTAAAATCTACAAACAGTCAAAACAAAAACTCATCACGTTAACGTGGAGAAATTGCGCTGCCGCATGGTAAACATGCCAGCAAACAAACAAGCGCTCTCGCAGATACACAAACTATATACACAGACATGGTCACACATTTTCACTGTCAACACGAACTCCCCAGATCCTGGGCTCACCACTTGCTCCTCCCCCCTCCCCCCCCATCGTCCTTTTTGCATGCTCATCAACAGCCGGAGGAAAAGTGGAAGGGCGGAAAAGGGAGAAGACATCCTCCCACCCACCCACTCACACACACATAGTATTTTTGTAGTGTGCCAGGGACACGCTGGCAACAATAAATCATCTGTCTCTGTGTGTGTGTGTGTGTGGCAGCAACTAAAACAACGAGGGCCAAGAGATACATTTGAAATTCTAGCTTGTGCAGATAAAAAATGTGCATGTAAAATATATTTCGAGGCAGGCAACAAAAATTGGGGTTAACCTGCACTCGCCCCCAAAATCCCCTCCATTTATCCATCCCTTCCATGTGCAACTTGGCCTTTTGTTTGTTTTACTCACAGGACCCCGTCATATGCATTGGACCGAGTGCATTTTCGATTTGAATTCTTTCGCATGACCAACAGGACCTGGCCAGGCATTAACACTAGGGGAGCACAGATCCTGTCCCTGTCTAAGTGGAGGGCATTAAACACCGAGCTGTGTGTGTGGCATAGATAGCGGCATAATTGCGTATACATAAATAATTGGTAAGCAAATTGCTCATACGCCATGTTGTCCCAGGCCGAGCTAATCGATTTATTTCCCTAATTAGACGTGAGCTGGGAGATAGGCCCTGTGTCTGCGTCTGTTTCGCTTATTAAAACTTATAGACGTTTTAATAATTTCCTCGCCTGACGTATGAAATAATTTGCGTTGGCAGCGCACAGGCTCGGAAAAGGGGCAGACATTCAGGGACACACAGAGGAGGTCCTTTGGCTCGGGCCAAAATTAATATTCGCACTCGCAGAAGCGTCATAAGTTGGCTTGGCAAACATTTTTCCGCTTAATTTATTCAGTAGCAATTAATTTAGATTGCAACTAAGGCAACTAAGGCAACCCCCGACCATCACGCCCCCTGTTTTTCGTGCTTCGGGGACTTCTCTTTAAAGGGAGAGCTGGTAGCAAAAGTAGACAACCTTTAATGAATACCGACTGACAAAACCAGAATTCCTTCGCTTTTATGGCCCAGCAATGAACGTAATTACAGGGAACGCGGCAGATATACGAGAGTAAGCGAAATACGAGCGCATAAATTAAAAGCTAAAGCCATGGTAATCCCTTTAATTCGGCCATTTACCGACTGCTCGCTGTCCCTTTTCCACATGCGGTGTGCGTATTTTTATCGCGACAAAACATAAACATACTTTTTGCAGTACTTATAACTTTGTTTGGCATTAAAATTGCTTGTAAAACTTTTAAGTTGGCACAAAAAAACAGGAGACGTTATCTGGCCGGCAAAACACATACTCGCGCAACTTTGACTGCATTTCGCTTAGCGAAGGACAGTCGTGACTTTGACGCCCACGACTTCGTCCTTTTCATCCTGCCTTCGCTGGCATTTTCCACTTTATTATCCTTGCGGTTTTTCCTAGTTTTTGCTATCAGGCTGCAGCCGAAACCCCGAAGAAAGTTGCTCGCCTGTGTTGGCTTAGGCGTGCTCGAAATTATGGAAAGTAAGCTGTTTGGGTTCAAGTCGGTGCTGAGGTTGCCCACGTTAGTTGGCTTCATCAAACTTTGCAAGTGGGGGGCAAGTAAAATAGGTTGATACACATTAAGCATGCAGTAAGGGCTGGCAAAATAATTGGATTAAATTACAAAAAAGGCCAAATGAAAAGATGAATGGAGAGAAAGACGTGACTGGGTGGTGGTGCTCTATATATGTGATGGGTGTTTCGTTGCGCCTTTTGCTTATTAGATTGGAATAAAATTTGCTTATCCTACGGGAATGTGCAGTGGCAGTTGAAAATGCCAAAAATATGCCCCACTGCCATCAATCGGTTGTCCGAGTGGCAAAGTTGAAAAGTTTGCGCAGTTATCGTTGTGGAATTCCAAACGAATCTTTGCTCTGTTTATCTGCGACTCAACTTTGCCAAACATTAGCATATTTCTGCAAACTCTGACTGCCACTATGGGGAGTGGTTGAGTGGTTGGGTGGTGCAGAATTTTATGAAAGAGTTTTGAACACTCGCAACTAAATTCTTGGCAATGTGACTAATTTGATTTCAATATTTTTGCTCGGCTAGGAATGGTTGTGGCTAATTGTTTGGGATTTGCATGGTTGAGGAATAACAGGAGTGGAAATCGTTTTCATTTGGTTTGCAGTGAGCAGCTAAGCTAGATTTTTGTGTATGCTTCGATTGCGAACGAATTTCGATTTGATTTGATTTGCAAATGGAATTTCATTTTCCATTTTTTTTTATTGGTGGAATGTGAATTTTTGACTGCTTTCTTCTCTTTCGCTCTCTTTGGTCCGGGTGCTGTGAAGCCCGTTCCTTCAATTGACAAATAATTTGATTAATTTCATCTTTCGTATTTTCAAATGCCGCAAAAATAATTCGATTCAAAGTGTTGAAGTATTTTGTGTGTGTGTGTCTTTTGTGGGCGAACTTAAAGGAGGCGCAAAGAATCCGATCTATAAAACTGATCAGTAGCGGCCGCTTGAAAAGCCGAAAGCCTGCCTATCTTAAATAATGTGTAAGCTGGTGATTTGGGGGCAGGTCAGGTCAGGTCGGGGTGGGATGGTCCCCCGATTTCAGGTCGGGGGATATAGGTTGATGGCAATGAGAACCAAGGCAAACAGGAACCGAACTGAGGAAAACTAAAGTCAAATTACCAATATGAAAACACATAAACACATACACGAGTACGATCAATCTCAAGCTATAAGTTATAGTTTATCTGCATCGCATGGACATCAACAAACAATACGAGCATTGGCAATAGTTCGGTTATCGGATCAACTTGTATAATTTGGTTACTGCAGCGCTTTAAAAAAACTCAAAATTAATTAAACTCAGGCTGAGTAACTGATCGGGGACAAGGCTCATTAGAGTTGTTATATGGTATTGTAGGTATAAGTTGAGAAAACACTGAATATGATTACGGTAGTTCAACAGGCTGGTAGTTCATTATTTGTTTACTGCGTGGGGTCTGTCTGTTCTGACTGACTGTTTCTTACTTTTTCTTGCTTTGTTTTTGCGTATCGGAACAACAATGTAAAAAAGAGAGTTTAGAGAAGAAATGTTAACTGTGATATCGTACCGTTTCGCTCACCTTCTTGTCCCACTGCAGGACATATGGCACGGGATGGTCGTTGGGGAACTCCACATGGCAGTTGAAGATGACGCCCTCGCCGAGAATGGCCGTGATGTGCACGGCGTCTTCTGCAAATAGAAAAAGGGGTGCGGGATTCAGATATATTACTTGTTACACATGTGAAAGGATCGGCGGCGGGGGATTGCCACCTCAGCAAGGATTCCCCAACGTGATACGCCCATAATATGGCCAATTCCGTAGCCACATCCGCAGTCCCGTCCTCGTTATTGCTTTCTATTTAGACGTGACATTCAGCACGATTTACGTGGCCCGACAAATGTCCCGTGTCTGCCATCCCATTCCATTTCGCTGACAGTCCGTGATAGCGGAAAGAATGGGAAACCCAGCATGCCAGAGGTTACTTTTAAATGGATTTGTTGATGGCTATGTCGGTCACATGTCAAGTGCTGGTCATTGACTGATGTTTTTGCCCTCCCATCTCTTCTCCCCTCCCCTCCTCTCTCAAGGGACCAATAGCTGACCCGGCTTCCATTTTGGTTTTCAAATCAGTTATCCAATTGAAAGTCGGTACATGTGTGTGCTTCTAAAACTATTGCCAGCATATGCAGAGGAATGCACTCATGAGACACTGAGAAAAATTAAGTAACAGTTGACAATGAAGTTTAAATGACTGAAGCTGTTAAAAAAGTCCATAACAGAATGTAGCTAGACTAATTTTTACCTAACTTTTGATCATTTAATTTATTTATTTATGGTACTTTTCTGAAAGTTAGTACCTAGTATTTGTTTTAATTTTCCTCTATGCAAGTGGCTGACCGCTTGAATAAAAGTTATTGACCACACGCACACACAAGGTGAGAAATCAGAGAGAACTCTCTGAATGACGAAAACCAGCTTTCAACCGAATGTCCCTGCCTTCACAACGAGTCGTGACATTTCATTAGCGTTTGTCACCTGTCTGTGGCGAAGGAGCAGGTGCCAGGATGGACTGCGGTGGGCACTTGACAGGCGCTGATTAGGCTCCTTGTTGCTGGCTTTGACGGACGCTTCAAATTGTGCCGAGGTGCGAGTGTACTGGGCATTATTATGTATGCAACGTCCCCGAAACTGCCACCCTTCTCCGGCAGTTGGAGCTTTTCTAAGCCGTTGTCATGGTCAACCAAGTTGAAAATTTCGTTTACAGTCGGGGCAGAGCTCAAAGCTCGGCAAGCGGCATCGGAAATGCAAATGAATTGTCGGAAACAGCAGGACAACAACAGCAAACTAGCGAGCAATCCAATAAGGGAGCATATCCTGTTACACACATGTGTATGGTGGGGGAGGGGGAAGGGGGGTCGACGTCGGTGGATGCCACTTGAAGATGACGATGCAGCTGCTGCCGAGAGTTCGAATCAAAATAGGATTCTCTGGTCCTGGCATGATGACCCTAAACTTGTTAACAAACAACTTCTGACCTGCCTGCACATTCGATGTCTGGTCATCGTCTTCCACTGTATCTCTGTGCAAATCCAACTGTATCTCCGTCGGTAATAGGGTTAGGAAAACTACCAATGTCCGAAGGCCATTGTTCGGCTGGGCAAACCGCTCTTGATTAGGGCGTTGTCCGGCAAAAAATCAACTTAATGCGTTTTGCATTAATTCCCCACCAGTTTTCGAAGCAGGAAAAGCAGAGAGAAAGGAAGCGAGGGAAAAAGAAAGCTTGACAAGGACTTGGGCTCCAGCTACATGACGTCTTTGTTAACCGCTCTCCACTCTAGGCACTCAACCAGTCAGTCACTCACTCATCTACTCACTCACTCACTCTCCCAGCTCGCTTTATGCACTCTTCTCTTGTTGACTTTGGCATTTGCATAAATTTATGTTAACTTGGCCCAGCTTTGGCAGACTATTTGCATCGCTACTCAGGCTCCGCTTACTGCTCCCGAAAAAAATACAGAAAACAACATCAGGAGCGACACAAAAACAATGACGACAACGACTTCGACGGGGCTGGGAATAGTGATTATGCTGAGAAGCATACACTGAGAGAAAATAGGAAGAAATTATAAATCAAATCGAAAATGTAGTAGTACACAATACGAAGTACGATGTGGAATGTGGAATGTAAGGCTTTTCCATACTGATTAATAGTGACAGTATTTGCAAGGTAAGCATTTCATCTAATCCAATCTCTCTACTTAATAAACTAGCCATTAAAAGTTCTCTGTGTACCCAGTCAAGACACTTGTTCGTCTATTGCCCTTTGATAATGTTGCAGACATGTCGCCGAGAGCCAAGTGCCAAGAGGCCAGTGAGTGAGGGTAGCAGGAAGTCAGGAAGCCAGGATGGCAAAGTCCCCGCGTGAGTTTCGCTTCTGTCGCGCCTTTTGATGGCGTTAACATGCAAAAGTGGTTTCATTATTCCATTTAGAATGTCCTTCAGCCAAAGGCAGACGGTTTCACCCCGCACACCGCCTTCATGACTCACCAACCACCAAGCACTTGACACGAGTTTTGGCTTGAGTTATTCAGCGAATCGCAAATTTGTTTCATTGATTAAAGCCAAATTAAGTCGCTTTCAAAGAATTCATTTCGGCATTTTCTATCCTTCCCCCAAAACCGCCCAATTCGGCCACGCCCTTTCCAAAGCCTTCAACTTGGCGTTGACCTTTCGACCGTGCTGCAAAGTGTCCATTGGCGCTGCCAAGGCTAAGGAATCTCAGGCGGTTTTTCAATTTTCGGCTAAATTAAATTTAATTAATTCACTCTACGAACTTAGAACGAAAAACGTCACAGTACATTGAACAACTTTTAAGAACTAGGACAGAAAATTGGAATGAAGGTCAGCTCATTGAATTTATGGAAGTCTCAAAGTTAGCAACGGTTTTTCGATTGGCAGTTAGCCCGTGTGAAAACGCAAAGAATTTAGAGAATTTAACCACAATCATTTAGAAGTATGCCACTTTAAAATCGAATTTCTGTAACAAAAGTTATGGGCTTAGAAGTGGAGATTTTATGTCACTTTTCAGCAAGGCCATTTTTTGAAAATTTAGAAAGGGGTTACATTGTAAAAATGATCAAAAATCGACCCAAAATTACAAACCAAGATGAGAATACAGATTTTTAGAGGATTAAACCACAATAATTTTAAGTTATACCATTTTGAAATCGGATGTCTGTAACAAAAGTTATGGGCTTAGAAGTGCAGGTTTTAGGTCACTTATCTGCAAGGCCATTTTTAGAAAATTTGGAAAGGGGTTACATTGTAAAAGTGACCAAAAATCGACCCAAAATTACTAACCAAGATGAGTACACAGATTTTTTGGGGACTTAACCACAATCATTTTAAGGTATGCCATTTTGAAATCGGATGTCTGTAAGAAAAGTTATAAGCTTAGAAGTGCAGGTTTTAGGTCACTTATCTGCAAGGCCATTTTTAGAAAATTTGGAAAGGGGTTACATTGTAAAAGTGACCAAAAATCGACCCAAAATTACTAACCAAGATGAGTACACAGATTTTTTGGGGACTTAACCACAATCATTTTAAGGTATGCCATTTTGAAATCGGATGTCTGTAAGAAAAGTTATAAGCTTAGAAGTGCAGGTTTTAGGTCACTTATCTGCAAGGCCATTTTTAGAAAATTTGGAAAGGGGTTACATTGTAAAAGTGACCAAAAATCGACCCAAAATTACTAACCAAGATGAGTATACAGATTTTTAGGAGATTAAACCACAATCATTTTACAGTATAGCATTTTGAAATCGGATGTCTGTAGCAAAAGTTATGGGCTTAGAAGTGCAGGTTTTAGGTCAGTTTTCTGCAAGGCTATTTTTAGAAAATTTGCAAAGGGGTTACATTGTAAAAATGATGAAAAATCGACCCAAAAATAAAAATCAAGATAAGAACACAGATTTTTAGAGAATTTAAACACAATCGTTTAGAAGCATGCCACTTTAAAATCGGATGTCTGTAACAGAAGTTATGGGCTTAGAAGTGAGGGTTCTGGTCAGTTTTCTGCAAAGCCATTTTTCCAAAATTTGTGCTCGTCGCGAGCAGGCAATGAAAAAAGCAAAAGGCCCAAAATAAAACACCACTCTCTCTTTTCTGGCCAGTGGCTTACTGGTCGGTGCTCGATGCTGCGCTGAACTGTCAACTAATTGCCAAATGTAATCAGCTTTGGCCGCACGTAAGCCGCTTATTGTGCGCCATTAAATTTTCCCGAGCACCATAAAAATCAAGTCCACACATGCGCCCTTTTCACTGTTCAGCTGCAATCAACGAATATTTTCAGCCGATTCGGTGGGTGAAAAAGCAAAGAAACAAGTCGATTATCAAACTTTCAAATGACGTTATTCGGCCGCGAATAGTAGAGGCTTTTGAGCGATTTGCTGCGGAAAATTAATTAAGCACTTTTTGCGCACTCACCTGGAATGTTGTGCGCGTGGGCATTTTTCGCTAGAAGAGCCAGCAACGAGACCAACAGAAAGTGGAGCACCTGTATCGTTGACCTTTGGCTGCAGATGGGGAGGCAGGTGGAGCTGCCTGCCCTTCGTCGGCGTCTTCTTCTCGTTGTTTTCACTGTGAAAGCAGCCGTCTTCGCTGGCGATGCCGTCAGCGTTTCACTAGCGGGAATCGTCGTTGTCGTGTCAATGGCTCCTGATCCTGGACTCCTGGCAGGACTCTCCTCGCTGGCTGGGGGCTGGATTTGCTGCTGCTCCTTCGATTTCTGGGTGTTGTGCTGGGTGCTCAATGCCCGACACCATCGATGAGACCCAAGGTCCGCGCACACGCCCATGCCTCTGTTCCCATAGTTCGACGCCGCCCCTAACGTATCGTTCTCACCGGCAATGGCGTCATCTGGAAAATGGGTAAAGAAAACAGGATGTCAGAGGGATTGCATTGTTGCCAGAGAATTGTGGTAGATGTGGTACCCATCTCCAAATAGATACTTATTTATTATTTAACCAAGAACGATATGATAAAGTGTGAATTACCCAAGATGAAAGTCCCCAAATAACTTTCCAGAAACTTTTCCTTCATTGATTACCTGACTTTCTAAGCAATACTCATTGTTCGGGTCTATCCCGAAAATAACCTTGCTCCACAATCAAGGTCGACTCCCCTTGAACCTTTTCATATTGACAAAAAAGTTTTTTAGTAGACAGGTAAACCTTATCGACAAGACACAATCTTGGACCACCTCAAACAGCGTTCTTAGCACCATTGACAAATTAATAAACAAAAGTTTTCCATTTCCACACTACTGGGGGGCACACACACACACGTCCGTGAAATTAAGCAGCTAATATGTTGTAGCTACACTGATAAGGACACCACTTAGCAGATTGAGATGGGGGTGCGACAAAGGGAAAGGAAAAGAGGCCCAAAAACGAACAAGGCTCCTATACAAATAGAGCAAACTTTTCCTCCGCCCAAGCTGTTTGGCAATAAAACTTTGCGTTTTAATGTAAAACTCGTGTTGGATGTCGAAGGCAGTAAAGAGGAGGAAAGACATGGGGAATTTTCATGCCATTGCTTGATAGTTTTCTGCCCGGTAATTTGTCTAAGGATCGTGATCAGGGCCCGATTTTTGGGACCGCTGCAGTTAATTGAAATGGCATCCGAGCGTATTTTATGACACGCCCACAAGTATGCAGTGAAAAGGTGAAGGAAGGTGGGGCAAGGAAATACCTTGTCATTCTCAGTCGAGAACAAAGCCAGAAATGTGTTTTTAATTAAATTATTTGAAATGCTTTAAACGGAATTTGCTCAATTTGTACGAAATGAAACTCTCTGGCCCGACTTCCCGGTTTCTCTGCCATTACATGGCATTGTAAATATAAGCAGCTGCCGTAAAAGTCCCCCGCCCAAAAAGCCACAGCCACCCACACAGACATTTTAAATTGCAGGCAAAGCTTTTTTGTAGCGATTTTCATTCCTGGAGGGATGCCAGTTGGGCGACAGGAGGAAAAGGGTGAAAATGGTGAAAAGCCTTTGCTTTTCCTTATTCAATGTTGTCACTGCAATTAAGTAACTCGAGCAAAGCAGAGCTTCCCTCAGGATGTGTTTGTGTGTGTGGAAAGTTTTTCGTGGCTGACAGAGCTGTATAAACGTCATTAGTGCCATTTTAATGCATAACTTAATACATCCGGTGAAAGCCGAGAACAGAGCACACACGCACGGGGAGTCCATGTGCGTTGAATTTAATCCTTTCTGGCATGACATGTAAAATTTTAATAACGTCAAGGTTTGTGGAGCGTTATTAAAACTTTTTGCGCTGCCAGCGCCATTATGACAAGTTTATTAAAACGAAATTTATTTATAGAGCGCACTCGAATCCCACAACGCTACTGGGCTCGTCCTGTGGCCCCACATCCTGCTCCTCCCTTTCCACCTCCTCCTCCTTCTTAAAACCACATCAAAACTAAAAGCTCAGGCAACAAGCAAGCGGCAAAAATCGCATTAAGTGTGCGGTGCTGGCTCGTCCTGCTCACCAAAAAGGATGCACGGGCAGGGCCACAGGCACAGGCACAAACCAGCCCAACCAAAATAGAACAAAAGCCGGAAAAATGATTTCCCTTATGGCTGAATTTTCATTACCGAAATGCCCGCCATGGCGTATGATTTCATTTGTAAATCAGCTCAAGTTGAGCTGTGGGGACAGCCAGCATACCAAACAATGACAAATCAGCAAACGAATTGCATTTGCTGATACACCAGGACCAAAAGGACGAAAAGGACGAGCAGGACGCTGTGGATGAGCATGAGGACAGCCCATCGCCCATCATGCACTAAATCAGTTGATTGGTTCGCCCCTCGCCCACTTTTGTTTTTGTGAGTTGTGCTAGGTGTACCATGAGACCCATAACTGAATTGTCGGCCACGTCGTTGTCATTAAAATGTGTGTGTGCCAGTTTGAGCTCTTTCCCGTGGACCAGCATTCGTCATCAGGCCCGCTGCACATTTCCATACACTCGAAAAATGATTAAAGTACCATTAAAAATCTCACTGGATCCTAGAGTTAAGCAATAAATTGTAAAACTATACAAAGACACTAACTCAAGAGCGTGATGATACAAATGTTTAACTTAGATTTAAAAAACTTCTGTTGTCTGACCTAATTTTTGTTACTAAATTAGAAAATATTTTTTTCTTTTTTTTATAACACATTTTTAAGTGATTTTAAATATATAAGGATATTAACTCCCCAGAAAAAATGATTTTAACGTTTAAATTTTCTATAATACTTCTCCATGTTGAAAGGTCTTACAATTTTCTTTAAGTGCATGACTCACTGAAAGCTGCTTCCTCGCACGGCGGCCATTTTATTTTCGACCCGTGCGGTGGCAGCAGTTTATGGCATCCGCCTCCGCCGCCGTTTGCTGGTGCTTTTTGGTTGGCTGAACACACGGCACAGGATTCAGGATTCCGAATTCCGGACTCCGCCGTTAACACAGCCACCGCATCTCCGATGCGGATTCTCCGTCCATGGACGGCGGCTACTTGGCGCTCATTTGCATTACGTTCTGGGGATTGCTGATGATGGATGGAGATGGAGGTTGGCGGATGGCGGATGGTAGCACAGGCACTTTTAATTAAAAACCCTCGCTGGCCAACCGAAACTGGAAGCCGCAAATAATTTTCACTTGGCTCACACATGGCCAGGACTGCCAGCATGACCTCTAACCCCCGGGCCTTGGGCCCCTTTTGGTTTCAGAAACTAATTAAGCATGTTGTGCGCAACAACTTGGGAACAGGGCGAGACCCGGACTACAGCTCATTGCACTCCAATAAAGGCGAGTGCCTACTCCGGACGAACGACGAAGGACTCCGGTCTCTGGACTCCGGACTTCTTCACGGACTTGTCGCTGCCACACCCCAAGACATTTCGACAGGCCCTCGAGTTTTCGTTTTCGCCCGAGTGTTGTGTATGTATCTTGGATGTGTGCCCCTTGGCGCAAAACAACAAATTTTACAACTTTTGCACACTGTGTGGTGGAAACTGCAAAGAGAATCCCATTCCATGTGCGAGTTTTTTACTATAACAGAGAAAAAAACTTGTCAAAAAACATTCCAATACAAAAGGTATCTTAACTGATTTGATTACAATTAAACACTGCTAATCTAACAATTTTGATTTCTACTGTAATTGTTCTTACAAAAAATGTCTTAAAAAATAGTCACAAAACTAAGAGGTTCCTTTTTTTCACCTAACTAAAAATCTTTTCATAAAACTCTACTACACATTTTAATGTGGATATTTGCTGTGTAAGTCCCAAAACCAAGGAGTGTTTAGAAAGTCTTCCTTTTGCCGTTTCTTAATTTTTAGTATCACTCATACGCCGCGTAGTACGCCTTGAAACTTTTACGAAATGGAACAGCCCCTGCCACATTCTCTGCCCGTTTGGCTTACATTTGGGAAATGAGCCCGTAGGCCATCCGTCCGTAAGCTTGTTAGCGAAGCAGAAAAACCAGAGAGGGTCTGAATATTTAGGCCAAGCGACAGAACAATGGAACCAGTTGCAATTTCCGACCAGCTTTACATTGACAATCCTTGGCCATTTGGATCTGATATTACGGCCACTGCATGAGTGGGAGAATCACTTCTATTGGACCTTTCTTCTTCCCCACTTTGCCGGGCATCCAGCATCCTTGTCTACTTTTCAGTAGCCAGCTAATTCCCGGCGAGATAGGGCCATAAAGAGAAATGCTATCACTTAATCTAATGAGTTTTACCTTCCCGCCGCGGGCAATTAGACCAAGAATAGCCATAAAAGTTTGAAACATAACAGCGCGGGCAGGCAAAGTCAATATATCATTAGGCACTTTGGCCGCTAAATGATCTAAAAAATGCGGCCAAATAGACTGTGGCCAAGTTTTTGGGTAGTCACCGCTGTTCGCTGGGGCCATGCAAAATGCCCCGGCCATTGTACAATTTTAATTGCTCTAAAATGCTGTAATACAACACGAACCACAAATAAATAAAATTTGCTGACATCAACAGGATGTTTGCGGGTTCCTGTCCAGCCCCAAAGTGGGCGGGTGCCTGGGTCAGAACAGGACGGGACGGGTCGGGACAGGACAGGACAGGACAGGACCGGACAGACAGGACCTGGAAAAAAGCAGGAGGGCAGTAATGGGCCGCCTAATGGTCCCGGGCCTTTGAAATTTAATTTCACCCGACTCCGGCAGACGTGTGCGATGCGATGAAAACGGGCAGGAAATGAGACGAGCATTGGTTTGTGTATCGTTTATACTTTTTACAATTTATTTGTGCTTCTCATTTAGTTTTCACTTTCTTATCGGGGCACCCATTACGCAACAAATTTTCATTCACAGCAACAGCAGCCTTTTGTGGCTAACAATTTCGTAATGGATTGTTTCACTCGCATAGCTTATTTATTGGTCATTGTATTTGGCCATATGACTCGACAATTTCTTAGCTGCAATGATTTTCGCTTATTCGTTTTACAATTTCCAGAAATTATCCTTGATGGGCGTGGCTTTTTAGTGGCGGAGAAAACTTTGCGCTTTGAAGCAATTAAATTCTTAATAATATTTCTGAAAGTGCAGAAAACTTTGCGCTCTGCTTTTGTGGCAAAGAAAACGCCGCCATTGCAGCGCCCGTCCAACTTTTTCTTGGAAAATATTCGGTGGAGTAAAAGTGCAAAATTATACCGCAAACTTGAAAGAGGGTCAGCTGCGCGTCAGTCCAAAAGGAGAAGGGAACGAGGACAAAGGAGCAAAACTTTTATGTTTCATGCTTAATTGCGGCATTTCGATTAAGCAAAATTAATAATAAAAGTTTGTGTTATTATTTATGCAGTCGGCGGACGGAGAATGGAAGTGGAATATCA